GCCGACTCCATTTTATGGGTTTTTACGAACACAGTGAAAAGGTATATATTTAAGATGAAGCTTCCCATTTTTTTTTTATTTTTTTGGTAGTTGTTTAAGATCAAAACAACTCTCCTTCGTTTATAAATCCGGAATCTGAGTCATTTTGTTCGAGGACATGTACAATCTGGTGCTCTTCGCATCTCATACGTTTCTACTAACGACCAGTTGGCAAATGCAGTAACGAAACCGCTACACCGTCCGTGTTTTCAAGAGATCAATTGCAAGATTGGAGTCAAGGAACTGTCTCCATCTTAAGGGGGTTTGTAAAGGTGAAGTATAGATTAAGGGTATTAATGTAATTAATCATGACTTAAACCTTATGGTTAAGTTCATATATATTGTAAATCATGTGTATCAATACAATCATTTTGCCCACATTATTGTCTTTATGTTTCAAGTTCGAGTTCCGGATGTTAAGCTTACTTAGCATTTACAAAGGATGATTAGTGCTAAGGTCACACGAACCGGTTTATGAGGAATGCGGTCCGTGACAACGTGCCTTATATTGTTTTTTTTTTCTCTCTAATAGTTATATAAATGAACAAAGTTTCTCAAGAAAAAACAAGAAGTGCCTTGTCCAGTTTTTTTTTTATTAAGTCCACATCAATATAAATTTTGTTCTTATCCAAAATTTTATACAAGCCCAATAGCCCATTGAAAAAAGAAGAAGAAATTGAAAATTTTATACAAGCCCAAATGGTTTTTTTTGTCTTATATAGAGGCTGGTCAGCACATTCCCTCATCTAAATCTAATCATTTGTTTACATGTACATTTAACACTTACGAATTGAGGAAAAATAAAGTTTGTTAAATTTTATAATAAAATAGTAAAATTTTAAATGATAAAAACATTTAAAATCTCCAAAATAAATGCTATTCTTGTAAATTCTACAAAGTTCTTTTATAAAAAAAAAATTCTTAAAAACTTCTTAAAAATATCTTTATAAAGTCTTAAAATTTCCTCTCCTTTTTAAAATCTTAAATTAAGATCAATAATAAATTTTGGGAGAACACACCTTGGTTCGATTCTCCCCTTCTCCTTTTCATAATGGGTTAATTTAATCTAAATACCCAAATAACTGAAAAATTAAAAATATATACATGCTTTTTGTATAATTAGATCTCTCTCATCAACTTGTATAAGTTGGACGAAAATACCCTTCCGCATGTAATAAATTGTTTAGCAATATAATAAAATAGTTATCGACGAGATAAACATTTCAAATGATTCCGACAATTGCAGTTTTAGATAAAAAAATTCTTAAAAACTTCTTAAAAATGTCTTTATAAAGTCTTAAAATTTCCTATTCTTTTTAAAATCTTAAATTAAGATCAATAACAAATTTTGGGAGAACACACTTTCGTTCGATTCTCCCCTTCTTCTTTTCATAATGGGTTAATTTAATCTAAATACCCAAATAACTGAAAAATTAAAAATATATACATGCTTTTTATATAATTAGATCTTTCTCATCAACTTGTATAAGTTGGACGAAAATACCCTTCCGCATGTAATAAATTGTTTAGCAATATAATAAAATAGTTATCGACGAGATAAACATTTCAAATGATTCCGACAATTGCAGTTTTAGATAAAAAAATTCTTAAAAACTTCTTAAAAATGTCTTTATAAAGTCTTAAAATTTCCTTCTCCTTTTCATAATTTGGCTTTTCTTTTGTTTCATAAAAATATATTTCTTTATTTATATATTACTTTTCTTTTACAATCATTTTTCTTTCTCTTTCTTAATCCTTGTTTGCAATCATTCTCCAAAAAAAAAAATTAAAACTAAAAAGAATTTAATTATAACATAGCTACAACTAGAATTATTAGATTAAACAATAATAATTTAAAAATAATAAGTTATAATTCATATATTTTAGTATCTCTATACTGAAATATTTTGTAAAATAATTTTATAAATTAGAAATGAATTCATAAATTTTAATTTTAAAAGGCCATGTATTGATAAATTTGTTTTAGTCTTCCAAAACAGTAAAACCGGCCCTGGTCCTCCAAAACTTAGGATTAGGCTGAATATGTTTACAAGTGGATAACATAGATGGAAATGTTATTATACGTTATGATGAACATCCTTACTAAAGATTATGCATTAGTGATTAATTAGATGTTATTTGAGATGGATTATGCAGAGTTGAATACAATTTTGTTAAATAAAAAAATCTAAATAAGTTCTTCACACGCAGAAGAATGTAATTAATACACGTAAGTCTTCTTTGTATTAAATTTTGTGAAGGGGCGATGAATGCGAAATTTAAAGTGTAATTCAAAACGTGTTTAATTCTTGTGTGTGTCTGATTAAAGATCAACAAACAATTCTTAAAGAAATACGTGAGAAGATAACAAAAATAAGGTATAAATGGCTCGAGAACAAATGGACCACACAGGAAAGTGAACTAATCTTTATTCCTAAATTCTTTTTGATATTAAAAAAAAAAGAAAGTAATATGCATATTCGTTTTTTACTACAAGATTTTTTACATATTTCACTTTTACTGTTTATCCATATATGTATATTTAAAAACTTGACTACATATAATAACCTGACCAATAAACTATGCTCATTATGCAAACTGCTTAATTTCTTGGTCAATTTTATTTGTAATTTTATTTTAATTTATTTTAATAAAGTTTCCGTATTTATTTTAATATAATATGGTTGGCCAAAAAAATTTGGACACTGAAAATTAAAGAATAACAAATCAAAATAAAACTCAATTTTATCATTTTTTCCGATTAGTAATTCGAATTGATTAGAAAATTGTATCCCAAAAACTGATTCTTTGTGCAATCCCAAAAAAACTGATTCACTTCTTAAAATGTTGTACAGTTTTTTTTTTTTTTTTTTTGGAGTTTTAATAGCATAGTCCCAGAATTACAAATTTGCTAAAACTGTGGTTTAAAATCGACAAATGTTATATAAAGTGGTTTAGATCATTTTATGATTCTGTGGTCCTCTAGTTGATATTCAACTAAGGATGTTATCAAGATAGCATTCACATGTTACTTTTAACATTTTTGTTTTTTTGTTTCTTTTATTTTTCTCTCACACAAATGTGTTTTTATACAAAGGGAGTGGGCAAAAGATTCACGAAATTTGAGCTTTGATTCTCCAAATCTCAGCTTCTTTAAATAAGCATATACATATCTTCCAGTTTATGCCATCCAACGTCATGTATAACTAAATTCCCAAAAAAAAATAAAAACTTTCTAAACCAATCTTGTGAATAGTCAAATCTCAACATTTTAATTTGGTACAACATTTTAATAGTTTATACTACTTAAAATATGACCAAAATAATGAACCTTTTTGTATCAGATTTACTAAGCAGATTTTTTCTCTTATGCCCAAAAATGGGAAACGTAACTTCGTAACATTTTTGTATAAGGGACAGCTACGAAATTACCTTAACATTGTTTTAATTCTTCCAAAATCATAATCATTTTTCAAAGGTAGGGAGAAACACTTACTATTGATTTGTACAAACACTAAATGGACCTAACAAAGATAGTGGGGCTGTTGGGGAAATATCAAAAGATTAAATTTACCTTAGAAATAATTAAATCCAAAGACCTAACCTATGTTTTGTGCTGAACTTGAATTAGAAACTGTGGACTTTTATCATATTACTCTTGTCTCTATCCTTCATACTATTTTCAACCCGATTTTTACTATTACACTAACTTCAAAATCAGTAACTTCAGTTCGCTGATTTTTTCTTTAACATAGCTAGTTTGACATTTTTTATATATTCCGATTAATTTATCTATGGTCTCTTTAGATAAGTATACATTGTTTATTTGCTATATAAGATTATTCGACCTCTTCAATCGATTTTTTCCTCGACAATGCCTATGAATATGCATTTCAAACTCTAGTTATAGTCTGGAACCCTATATATATAGTGCGGACCAATCTACTAATATCAAATAGTTCCATTATTCCAACAAATCTGCAGCATACCAAAATCTTTAAACGGTGGTAAGAGTTAAGATTGCATCCTAAAGAGTAAAGACTGTAACCAAAAAAAAAAAAAAAAAAACAGTGAAAAAGAAAATGGCGATAAATTTTTTTAGTTGGGTACAAATTGTACCGTACAATTCTACTGAATTAAGACTTTTTTTTTGTTAAAAGGTGTTAGAGAACTTCGCTTATTTTGAAGTAATCTCTCAAAACCAATCTTTTTTGTTACCCTCTTTAGTTGGTGTCATACTTTATTAATAAAATATTTAAGGGTTTCACTATTGCTCAATGTTGGTTATTGTCTCAAGTAATCTCAACACAAGAAGAACCGAGAAGTTTTACGGAATTAGGTGCGCTCAAGAAAGGTAACCCCAACCTTTAGTTGCTCTGCTTTTTAATATATAAAAAAAAATCTTATCCATACCTAATTGTACATGAAATTGGAACATAATAATATAATCACAGTGGTTATGTACCATCAAATTTAAATTTGAAAATGTAGACATTTATGTCAAAACATGGTGGGCCATTTCTTTTCAAGTCTGCATATGTCCATCATAGGGATTGTACTTATATTTAATAAATTTAAAACTTATGGTGAATTTTTGTGGCTTCACTAAAATTAGGTAAAATTATTTTTGTCAATATATCAAATTTTTTTCTTTAAAAACAACTGTACATAATTATATTCTTATGACTTAACTATTATTTGTTATCGTGTAGTTCACAATGTATGTCCAACTATCTAATAAAATATTAAACTTTTTATTTTTTATTTTTTTGTCGTTCAAAATTAATTAAATCTCAAAAGAGTTATTCCTGAGGAATGTTGTTTACATATATGATATGAAACAAAACTGTACAAATTTTTCGTGCCAGATTGTCCGCTTTTACATCAGCACTACGAGATATTAAAGATAAAGAGAATGTTGAGAATTTTTTCTTGTTTGCTCTGCAATTCCTCAAAAAAGAGGGATGCAACACGAGGACTTCTCGGGAGGTCACCCATCCTAGTAATACTCTCGTTCAAACACGCTTAACTGCAGAGTTCTGATGAAAACCGATACATTAGTATGATCGCATATATAGTTTTATTTCATATATAGTTTTAGAAAATATCCCATGTATGTCATACTTACTTGATGGTTAGAAAATTTTCTTAATACTATAATATTTTTATTTGTTAAAAACATTGATTTCAGTTCTAAATTAGAAGCAAAGTTGAAAATATCATATTTGATGGCTAATTTTTGTTTTTGGTTAGATAATGTGAATTGATGGCTAAATTGATACGTTACAAAAATAAATAATATAATTAATATAAGTGGTGCACATGGTATATGGCAGTTAGGGCCATAACCTCAGCTTGTGCAAAAGTTTTGTCCCCACCAAAGATAATACGGAAAGATTTTTGTGACTTGACTAAATGCATTATATAAAATAAATAAATACTAGAAATATTAATGAATTGCTTAAATAATTGTAGCAAACCCGTATGGAGATACCCATAATTTCATTATTGTGAGAGCCGACATATCAATACTCATCATCCCTACGTTTCCCCAAATGGAAAGTTATTGTTAAATTATTCATCAACTCAATCATTAGTGTTAGTGCCACGCCTTAAACCCCTATTTAGAAATTGTTTAGATTATATGATTGAGCCAAAAAAATATAGAATATTGCATGCTACGATGTGATATAATAATGGTTATATCTAACTTTAGTATGAATTGTACAAATTTAATCTAACTATTAAAAAGTATATGCTTGTTTGTACTTGTCAAATGAGAATAATTAAAACTAAGCATATATACCAAAAATGGGTTATCGGAATGAATCCTTGACAAAGACATATATTAAAGAGGAAATTGGTGTTAAAAAAATGCTAATAAACAAATGATGGCTAATCATTTGATATAGAATAATAATTTACGTATATTTATTCTTTAAATTAAGGAAGGATCTAAGAAAAAGAGTACACCTAGTTTGGTCCCAAATAAAATTAAGAAAAGTACTTTTAAAGATAATAAACCAGTATAGTAACTAATTATGTTTCACTAGTTTATTAATCTTTTAACTTTCTATCTTTTTGTTTCTTCATCTGAAACAAGATCACTACATCAAAGTGTATCCATTTATTGGAGTACTTAATTACATTTCAGGGTTTATTAATTAAATTCTTGAACAAATGATACTCCCTCCGTTTCAGTTTAGTTGTCGTTTTAGGATTAAAATTTTGTTTCATAATAGTTGTCGTTTTAGGTTTTCAATGCAAATGTTTGGTGAAAATTAATGTTTTGTCATTAATGTTTTAATGTTTTGACCAATGAAAAAATTATAAAATATATTAATAAAGGGTAAAACAAAAAATTTAATGATTTTCTTAATTTGTGTGCAAAAACCTTAAACGACAACTAAAACGAAACGGAGGGAGTATATAATTTCGAAATGTTATGGTATTATTCCTCATTGAGCGAGACACCAACGTGGTAAAGAACATTTAATTAAAGCTGAAAATTAAACTAAAATAATAATGCAAAAACAAACAAACATAATTAAATATTTTAATTAATATTAATAAAAAGTTATTAACGATGATAATACGAATAAGCTTACTCTTAAGCTTCTTATTAATCTGATAACTCTCATCTTTAACTTCACGACGACGACGATCCGTTAACGTTACCGCCGTTAGCTCCGCCGCTATCACTATCAAATCCTCCGCCACCGCCGCTACTAACACTGTGGTGTAGCTCGTGGCCGCCACCTCCTCCTCCGCCGTGGTGTCCATTGTTATTGTTGTTAATCTCGCCGGTTAGAATCGGAGTATGGTTTCCTCCGCCGTTATCGATCTTCCGGATCTCGTTTCCGGCGAGATCACGGCGGTTAAAAGTGTTTTTGTTGTTATGCATCCAAACTTTAAGAACACTTTTATCAACTCCGATCTGCCGGCAAAAATCACGAACATCGTCTTCGTCACGTTTCTGCATCTTCCAACCAAGTCGTTCGGCGAATTCATGCATCTTCTCTTTCTGAAACTGACTGAATTTTGTTCGGAATCTTTTACGAGAACCGTGAAGAGTATGTTGGTGGTGGTGGTGGTGGTTGTTTCCGCCGGAGAAATTGAGATCGGAGAAAGAAGCTAAGTTGTTGTTGTTGTTATTAGTACCGGAGAGAGATAAGAGCATGTAAGAGGAAGAGATTGGTGGAGGAGAAGCTGAGTTAGGACTACGTGGCGGTGGTGGAGGTAGTGGTGGTGGTGGATGATGACGGTGGTGAGGTTGATACTCTACGGCGGCGGAAGGAGGAGGATGGATTAGGGATGAGTCGTTGTTGTTGTTGTCTGGATCACGGCGGTGGAAATTACGGTGGCAGCCACAAGCAGCACATTTGAGAGAAGTTGGATCGGAGGAGATTGACGACGGAGACGGCATGAATTCGCCGCAACCGTCGAGAGCATGACCACCTAACGCCGCCGCGTGGTTTTTGAGGCATTCTTTGTAAGTAAAGAGGAGAGGATGGTGGTGGTGGCGTTTGATGATGCCGTTGCTAAAGGAAATGGGTTTCGCCGGTTGGATCCGGGTCGGAGTTTCGGATTCGGGTTCGGGTGATTTAGGAGTTGGTGTTGTTGTTGTTATTGTAGGAGTCATATCCATCATAGCTTAAAACATTAATAATATAACCAAAAATTTGGAAAAAAAAAACTTAGGGTTTTTGGGTTAAGAGCTTTGAAAATATTGTATGAGTTTCAGAGATTGTGAATAGAAAAATGGAGAAGAAGAAGAAATAAAGATAAGTAAAAAGGTTCTTAAGCTTTTGGAGATTTATTTATTTTAATAATATTAAATAATTTTACTTGATTTTTTTTTTGGTAATATTCGTTTAGAGGAGGAAAAGAAGAAAATGATATGATGACTGTGACGACTGTTGCTGAAGCAAATAAAGAAATTTTTTTTAAAAAGGACAATAGTATTAAATTAAAATTAATGATTTATAAAAGAAATGTAATAAAAAGAGTTGGATTTGGGGATATTTTAATCAAGGGAACTAAGGTTTGATGGTTTTTAACCATGGTTAGGTAGAGGGAGTTGTGGGGGTCCACAACGAGAGAGTGCGTGTTAGATTTTGCGGTGAAAAGCGTAATAAATGTGGCTACTGGTTACTAGTGTCTTAAACCTAAAGGCACAAGTCAAAACTAAAAAGAGAACAAAACAAAGTCTCATGGTAATAATGGACGGTTAGATTCTTGTTTGAAAAATCGTTAGGCGGAAAATCGAAAATTAATGGGAAACTAGTTTTAAAGCTATTTTCATATTTTTAGATATATTAATTTAATGTTGTTTTCAAAATGGTAGTAAACACATAAAAATGTATTTTAAAAATGGTCTCATATAGCCCTAAATGAAGTTTTTGTGACAAAAATAGCATCCCCAAGTTTATTTGACAAAAATAGCACTCATTTACCTTATTTTTGATTTTTAAGAATTAATTAAATTAATTAAGATAAGAAACAGAAAATAGCACCAAAATTAAACATACCAACGGAGAGTTTACGATTGTGCTCTCCGGTGAAGCTTCCGATCTCGAATCTTCAATTCCGGTGAAGATTATGATCTCCGATATTCAATCCCGATAAAGCTTCCGATCTCATAGCTTCAATCAGGTCCTTAATCGATTGTTATTTCTCTAATTTCTTCTTATTTTTCACAAATCGTGTTAAATGTGAAATCTGATGTAGCTTTAGGAATCGTGATGGTCTATGAAGTTTGTGATTATAGCTCAAGATTCGTGAGTGTACCTCTTGATTTTGTTGGTGTGGATATAGTTTGGGCCTCGATTTGATTAGCTTTTCTAAGATTTCAATTAGAGAAGAAGAGATTAAGCTTTCAGGCGATGAAGCCGGCGAGAATATTGGATTTTGAGATTCGGTGAAGAGACGGAGACGTAGAGAACGGATGGTTCCATCAACACCTACGGCAAGAGCTTATGGGTAAAACAATCACTCGTTGCTTAATTAGGTTAGATAGAATCTACAAAACAATGATATGTTGCTTAGTTGGATTAGATATATTCTTATGTTGAAGTAATTTTAACAAGTTGAATTTTGTGAAATGTGAAGGTTTTTCAATTTTAGGAGCTGCTCTTGCTTAGAGAGCAGTTGAAGAATCTACCTATAGGATGGTAAATGGGACACCAATGACACAAGACAATCAACCTGCACTATCTTCTTTCATGTCTAAAGAAAGTGCAGAAAGATTAGCTCTTGGATTCTGTGAAATGCGTGGAGCTGCTCTTAAATTTGGGAAAATATTGAGTATACATGATGAGAGTCTTGTTCCTGCTCTGGTAAATAGCAAATCCGAACCATTATCGTTTTGTGGAAGCTGAAGCTGTGTGGAAATAGTTTTGGGATTAAAGAGATTGTTGAGTAGAGGAAGATGAGGAAAATATTTGTTAAGAGTAAGATAAGTTCGTCGTCGTCATAGATTTCGATCGTCGGCTCCTTCGGCTTGTAGTTTGCAGGTTTTCCACAGGTAGAGTCTGCAGCTAATGCTTCGTCAAGAGTTTGCTACAATTTTCCATCGACACGCAAATTACAAATCCAAAGTTGGCTACTTAGATGCTGGTTTCAGAAATTTAGGTAGACCTTCCTAAACTTCAAGGACGTCTTCCTAAACATTATGAAATCCTTCCTAAATTTTTAAAATATATTTTTGAATCTCTTTATTTATGTTTTGTTATGTATCAAAGATTACTCCATCAGTGAAGCGTAATGTACATACAAATTACAAATCCAAAGTTGGCCACATAGAAGTTGTTTTCAGAAATTTAGGTAGACCTTCATAAACTTCAATGACGGCTTCCTAAACATTATGAAATCCTTCCTAAAATTTAAAAAATGTGTTTTTGAATCCCTTTATTTATGTTTTATCAAATGTATCACATATTACTCCATTAGTGAGGGGTAATGTATCACAAACTCATCTATGTCCCAACTTTAGGAAGGCAAGCTACTGCGAAGTTATAAAATTTCTTTTTATGTCATGATGTGTTTCGTGTTTCATAAAAATATATATGTTTG